TCTGTGATTCAATTTCATGTTTTACAAAGCTTGAAATAATGGAGCAAAAGTGTCATTCCCTTTACTGTTATCACCACTCTATACCACATGTACATTAATGTACCGAAACTTCCCGTGTTTCCCCAAGAATTATGTCAACAAAGGTAAGTTTGAAGCATAAAACTGAAAGGTAAATGTAAGCAATTCAGAGTACAGAATCTTCTTCAAAATACAGATATCTGTCAAAAATTTGTGTTCTGCAGCTTTTGTCAAATTGTATTTGGAATTTGTAATAAACAGTGGACACAGACAACAGAGAAATTAGTGGTTTTTATACTGTCAAAGAGAGCGTGGGAAGTCGATGTCTGCAGCATGGTCATATTTGTAATCTGAAACAAACACACTGTAGACAACTGTAACTCAATTCAGTGGAGTGAGTCAATGTATTCTCTTACCTTGAGCATGTCCACCCAGATCAAAGGTAGTGAAAGTCATGCCAGCAATTGTCAGCTCTTCTGAAGCTAGAAATACATGGAATTATGCTTGCTGTGAAGATTATGCAGTGCACTGGAACAGTCCACCTTTCTAGCATGTAGATTTTACTTTCTCTCCTGGGTCTTTTCAGTATTTTGTTATTCAAGAAACACCCCAGAGCCATAAATTCTCTCAAAATCAATGACATGATTGTTTAACTACAAAATGCTATTAACCATTAAAACACATGAGAAATATCCATAATGGCAAGAACAGCAGATAATATTTGTACATTATTTATCCCTACACATTACACAAATAACAGTTGGCTCTGGCATCTGGTTTGCCACAAATATGGCAACATACAGTACTGTTCAAGGTCTCTCCTCTTCACATACTTTCTCAATTTCTCACCTCCTTACTAGACTTCACCAATCCACATTTTAAACCTGTGCTGACCTTTTTTGCCGGTGAAGCTATGAGGATAACAATTACACAGCAATCTCTGAGCCAAAAAAAAATTAAATCAAACCCAAGTGTACATAAATGCTAATTTTCCAGCTACAGAGAAGCTGCTCCCTAACACTGCAAGCCCAAATCTCCAACAGTTTCTGAAATCTAGACTCTCAGCTTCGTCACTCTTCTTTTCTTTCTCAATTTTAAATAAACCAGATTGAATTAACTACACACATTTTTTTTAAATATTACTCAAACTATCTACAGATTGCAGCTCCAGAAATTCATTTGTTTCTCCCCAGTTACACGGTTGGTCTTAAGATGTATTATCAAATCCTGCTTTGCCTGCAACACTTAAAATACTTTCTAGCTGTGGACCCAGCAATACTAACTTACTGGGGTGTAACGTGGGGACGTGTTGTCCCAGTCTGTCATCTTTGAGCATATGCAGCAGTGTAGTTTTTCCAGCATTGTCCAGTCCAAGAAATACTAGTTTGCCCGATTTCTTGTAGAGTCCTAGAACAAAGAAGGACCAGTGAATAATCAGTTAAATCGGTGGGAGTTCATTCCTAGCACTAGAGATGATTTTGCTCCCAGGAACAAAGTGTTACAGTCACAGTACAAAATACAGACCAGCCAAGCTCCACCATGCACTTTATCAATGCCCTTTATCCCTGTGCTCCTACTCACACAAACTACATTCATGCTTGCTTGTGCGCCTGCTGCACTATGTGTACGCTGTGCAGCTTACGGGATGCTTAGCAAGGAGGGGACAGGCACACAACTGATGTAAACGCGTCACTCCAGTAAATGCACTTATGTTATCTTGGGAAAACCACAGCAGAACAGGACTAAATCTTGCCAGTGTAGCTTACTCTGCCCCAGCAAACAGACAGTTTTGCTCACTGGTGATGATGAGGAGGCTGTGGGGGTACAGTGTTGACAGCGGGCTCTAAAATACAGACCATCCTGACCCTGCACAGCGGGTGTTTTGTTCAGCTAAATCCAAACATGACAAAAAGCTTGTACAAGGCAAAAAAGGTTCAGACATCAATGGGTATATTGAGAAATTAGTTTGAATGTAAATAGTCATAAATAGTATATGCATGAATTCTGTTGGTTCATATATTATTTGGACAAAAAGGAAGATTCACCCATACCGCCAGCTAAATTGTATGAACAGATCCTGAATGGTACTGCCAGGGCAATTCTGACACACCTGCTGTCATGTGAGAATGCTTCCATGACAGGAATAAGAAATTTCATTTTCACTGATTGTTATCTTTATAAAAATGCCTTTCCCCCTTTATTTCTTTATTGTAATCCCAGTAAATACAACAGTTACTGTGAAGGACAGGAAGGATGTTTAAAACACCATATTTTCTTCAGTTTGACATTATCAACTTGCCAACACAACACCCTATGCCAGGATTATTTTTCAGTGCTTCAAAGTGATGAACATTCAAAGTAAAACATTTTAAAGACAAATTAAATTAAAACAAAAATCATGTCCTGCAGTGAAAAAACTAGTGAAGTAAGAGTCTCTTAACTTTGCCCTTTTCAAGCAGAAAATCTTCCCTTATTCCCTCTTCAAAGACCTGTGGCTGGATACTACACACTGCACAGCTTTTTAGGAACCATGACTGACCCCACAGACTTCACGAGTGCTGGAAAGGGCAGAACACTTGCAACAGAGAATGAAGAAATAAACACATGTGTGTATATGCTCAAATTACATTTCTTCAACACCAAAACTGAGCTACGTTCCTGAAAGGATTCTCTCTTCTTTCTGTGTGGAAAGTACGGCAAAATACAGTCAAATACTGCAATGATTTTTTGTTTCTTACCATATAATGTTATTGTATGATGCTTTGCAAAACGCTTAAGAAAATGTGTTTTATTTGGTGGGATTTAAAGTGATGCTGTTGCAGAGGTGGCTGCTCAGCCAGCCTTGCTGATGCCACAGCGTTACAGGGGCACCTGTGCCTCTGCGTGGCCGACCTTTACACTGCTGCTCTTTGCTCACCGCTCCCCTGCCTTTAAGGTAATCTCTGGGATCACATTCCAGCAGGACATGTTTTGTAACTTGAAGGAATGAATATTCTTTCATATTCCTCAGCTTATTTCATTAATGATCTTTATTACTATAGGCAGTGTAGAGTGTCATCACAGTTCTTTCAGATATAACAATGCTTACACCCAAAATTCACCTTCTCACATGCCCAAACATAGATTAACTATTAAACTACAGAGTGGAGGAGAAAGTATTGATGTTTACAGAGAAAGGAGTGGGCAAACATATTCATACATTAACTTATGTCACAGGAGAAACTCCAGTTCACACTTACCTTGCGAGTTAAACTAAACTACAGTAAAACAGTAATATTTTTGCCACTCTCAGCCTAGACATCCAGGAGTCTTTGCTCCCAAAGCAGGTGCCTCTGCTTCCTCTGAAACATTTCACACTTTCCCAGTGTCTTTCATAGAAATGCAAGACAAACAAGCAGGAATACTGCAGCTATTAGCTATACCAAGACCAGAGTTTGTTTTATATATATATATAAATACAAATATTTGAAGATTCTTTGTACATTCTAAAATTGTACATATGCAAAGCTGTACTTCATAAAGTGATCTTCTCAGCCTGCTGACAGGACTGCAGAAGGAAATGTGTGGAGTTTCACAGATGTTATAATCAGCCTTCTTCAACTGTAAATATAAATGAGAATGAAAAGGGAAAATGTTTTTTCTAGAATAAGAGGGATATATTGAAAGTAATTCTCCTTCCTACTTCAAGCTCCAGTATCTTTCACCAGAATTAGACTTTACATGCACAGGAATGGGAAAGCGGGCTCATGTGCAGTAATCACTGCTCAGCTAAGTAAGAGCAGATAAGAAAGATTACAAGACTTAGTTAAAATTTCACTGGCTAATATTCCAATGGTAGGCCAAGGGTCTAACATTCAGCAAAAAAGTTCAAACTTTCAACTGATAAAAGGCAGGTGGCACAGCTTGTCATGATTCCTTAATCTCAAATGCTTTTTATCCACTTCAATAAAATCCTTCAAACTTGTAAACTGTGTCATTTACTGATGTGATCTGCAACTTCTGTTCCTTTCTCTAGTATCCAAACATTCCTCTTCCTCCTGGTTGGTTACTGCCCGCCTCCTTGTGGTTTTTTTGTCTCCTGTTTTGCACAAGCTAATATTTAATCTTGGATCAATATGGACTGAAGACTCTTTTGGCCAGGGAATACCTTTCTGAGACACCTCAGCAGATGCCAGTGAAGTTTCACACTGATTTCAGTGGCATCGGTTGCAGAAAAACACTGCTGAATATAAGCAAAGACTCAAGGGCTTAATATCCGGCACTAACCTTTTGTGGACACTCCCTCATATTTGGATTCTCAAGTGATACCCTCATGTGCAAAAGAACTGCTCTAAAATAACTGAGTTCATTTCTTTATAGCAGAGAAAAAACAGAAGAAACTCCATAAAAGTCAACTGAATTACACCAGCTTAAATACAGTATGATTAGAAAAAAAATCAAACCTCTTCTGTTCATGAAAGAAAACATTTTTTTCAAGAGGTTAAAGGACTAATGTAAGATTGAGTGGAGAGCATGCTCTGGAAATACTCAGTATTGATAAGTGAAACTTTTGTTTGAGTGTTACTGAATATTACCAACACAAATATTATTATTTCACCAGCGGCTATGTTTGAAGATAACAGAGGTGAACAGACATTTTATACAATTATAGAAGAAAGGAAAAACCCCAAACAATAAAAACTTACCTAAAAACTGTAACACACTACTGAAACCACTGTAAATCCAATCAAATATGAAGGACATATCTGAATCTTATAGTCTGAAATAAAAAGAAAATAGAATCCATTTAAAATATGTCAGAACAGCACATTAAACACTGCAAGATATTTATAGGTTACAAAAGCAATTCAAAGTCTTGAGTGAAAAAGACAATTGAGTTTTGGTGAACTGTAGCATGGACTAACTAAGTGACCCCACGATGCAATGAAACAAAAAACCAGTGTAGAAATGGAAAACAGAACCCAGGCCTTGAGACTGAACAGCAAAGACCCTTTCCTTTCCTTGCAAAATGCCACATGGACAGAAGTCTTTGCAGGAAGTAGAAATCATTTTCTCTTAAGTATGGTTTGGTGGAGGTGTGTGATGAATGGGATCTCACCAAGTTTTCAACCAGGAAGAAAAAGTGGCACTTCCAAGAGGACAGAGGGATGTCAGTGCGGAGTCAGTGCTCCAGACTCCCTCGGGAGCTGCTGGGGTTTGAAGCAGAGGTGATAAGAGCTGAAGAAGTTTTGTCAAGTTGAATCCAGAGATGTTTGATACCAAATAAATCCCCGATGTCTGCACAGAACCTGCCTGTTTGGCTTGTAATGGAAAACCGCTACAGAGCGCTGGAACTGCCATTCAAATACTGTGACCTCCTTTACTGTCCGGCACAGACTGACACAACCTGAACCTCAAATGCAAAGTGTTTTTAAGGAGGACTCTAGAATGTCACGTTTCCCACCAAGTTCCTTAAGCTCAGATTCAAGTCAAGCCGAGAGCAGCCAGGATGACTACAACCAACACTCGAGCTGTGCCATGCAGCCGTCAACCAACTTGTGCCGACTGCCACAGGTCAGACACCCCTTGCTACAGAATGAGCCTACTCCACAAATACCCTTTCTTTGTGGTAGAGTTTAAAATAAAAAAAACCACCCCAAACCAACAAAACCCAACCAACAGCAGTAAAAAGGTCCCTATGCTCGTCCTTGAGAAAGAACGAAGCGGTCAGAACGGATTGCACAGATTAATTCAGGAAAAAATCCTCTGCCACCGAAGGCAGGGCTACTTCCAAACAAGTGGCCACAGCAGAGGTTTGAGGGGAGCTTTGGCACACCTTGAGCGGAGCAAGGTAGCATCAAGGAAGAACCGCTGCTACTGCCAAAGCAACGCTTTGGGGCACAAGAATAAAGCCATCACTAGGCTTCACTGTGCAGCCACGAGCAATTAATTTCTTAGCTTTCTCTTAATTTCCTCATTATCTGAAGTGAGGATAATCACACTGAAAGCACCAGTTTCACACAGTGAATTAGTATCTAGCGTGAAAACCTCTTGAAAGACTAAAGGGTAACATCCTTAGAAGCATTTAGCCAGCGAATTCCTACTGAAGCATGTAACCCCTGCTAACACCAGCGGATGTTGGAGCCCAACTGTCCTCGAGAGACTGGACTGCACTGTGAAGTGCAGCTGGCAGAGGCATCCACGCTGCTGGGGGCTGTCCTGCCACACTCATTTTGACACTGCAGCGGTGTCTTAGGGGGTCACAAGATGACTCAGGGCAGCTCTGACCCTGGAGCACAGCACTGAGGAGTCAAAACTCAGGTCACTACCAGACCAAAATCCAGACACCTGTCATAGCAATTACACTGGTGGCAACAAGCAGAGTTTCTCCGCTATGCAGCAACAGGTATATCATAGAAAGATTAGGAAAGCATATGTTAGTTAGGTTTGCTCGCACCAGAACAAAATCTGTTCAGATGACGAAGCATTAGGAGGCTTGGTTTCTCCATGACTAACCCTGAAACCCTCACCCACGTCCTACGTTACTCTGAACAACTCATCAGCTGCCACAGATTTTAAGAATACAAATCAAATACACTTGTCAATGCACAAACAGCCAGTTAGTTACACAACGTCATGACTGAAACCGTCCCTTGCCTGGCTAAAAAGCAAAGGTCAAGAATAAGCAAACACAGCAGAACATACACGTCAGCAGATTTATTTATTGCTTGAGCAAAATACCAGTCGTGAAAAGCCTCGACGGGGCTTAGAAAAACGATCGACTCAAATAACCTGTAAATCAGGGCAAACAGCGTGATGTAAGAGACGTGCTCAGATGACTGAGGTGAGAATAACTTCACAGCGTTTACTTGTATTAACCACTTCCATCTATTAAACTTCTGGATAAAACAAAAATAAACCAAACGTCACGTATTATAGAAAAGACTTTAAGGGGCAAGATTCAAGTGATTAAAGTGAGAACAGGATTAACTCTGCAAACACAGCTGAAGTGGCATTAACATAGGTTAAATTTCCATCACCACAAAAGAAGCGGTTTTAGAAACACAGCTATCCAAATCCACCCAGAATAGCTCCGTATCAGCTGGCAGCCCTTAAAGGGAAATACTTGTAAAATGGGGAAAAAAATGGACAGCTAATTGTAAAGGCACACTGGTAATATTTGAATAGAGATATTAAATCTATCTTATCGCATGGGAAAAGTACCTACGTAATTCACAGGAGCGTCAAATCAAAGCATTAAAAAGCCCTAGTGGCTCTGCGTTGGTATCAAGAGTTAATGCTGCTGAGATATCCAAGTCATGGAGCTACACCAAATTAAGGGGGGAGCCGGGGCCGTTCAATGTACACGGACTCAAACTCTGGGGCCCACGTTAAAAATACCGTAAAAGCAGAACAATGAAAACTCTGGCAATGACTCTTCACAAGCCACAAGGAAGACAGAAATACTACTTTAAGGTTATTTGAAGTATTTCCTTGAAAATAATCAGTTGCAAGCAGACATAAGCTTTTAATGAAAAACTCTACTGGACACAAGACAATCTTTCGATACCAACTATTTTTACAGACTTCACCAACTCACTTGTGACTCCTTTAAAAATATGACAGTTAATTTTCTAGCATCACATCAACAACAGACGGCTATTGCTTCAAAATGTCTCCAACAACCCTGGCTAACATAATTTCATCAGCAAAGCATCATTTGGTAACTCCCACAGAGCCCTGTAAACCCTCCTCTAACCAAGGAGATGGGTTTGCTCACTGGAGACCACTTCTGACCGTGAGGATACGGAATTCCCACCCACTGGCTTCAGTAACACCTTGAGGGAGCCTCCTGAAGGAAACATCAATGACAGCAAGGACCAGCAAGCAAACTCACTCATGTTTATTTCTTTTATATACTGAAAACCAGGGAACTTCTCCCCTATTCTGGATCTGCATTTTTCTAGCTAAAAATTCATCACTTCACTTCTGAAGCAGTTAGAACAGCACTTACTTCCAAAGTTTGTGAAACTCTAGATGAGAGGGGACATTGGGCTTTTCTAGATAGTTTTAAATCCTCTTATGGAATAATTAGGAAACAGAAACCAGCAACACCCAAGCAGAACACCTCTTGCTCTAACTGGACGGGTACCGACAGCAAGAGCAAGGAAAGAAACCTCTGTCCAACCCAAAGGCACCGAACCTGCACCCCAGCCACTGCACCTCTGAGAGCCCGAAGACTGCTTTTAAGAGCGTATCTGCAGTTTTTCAAGTAGGATCTTAACATGGTCACTTAAAGTTATAATTTCACATATGAACATTTTAACATTATAAAATGTTACCAGGGACAACAAAAATTAAAATCATTAAGAAACTCAGTGAATAAACTGATATCTGCCTTTCCCCGTCAGTTTATTCTCTGATATGAAACTGCACTTTGATGTAGTATTTTAAAAGTTGAGGAAACTGTCAGAGTTTGGAAACCAGGGAATGGCACAGATTTGCTTAGGATATTTTAATCAGTTTTTTCATAGCAAGTCATCGCTGAGATTTCAGAAAATGTAATCATCATACTGCTCTGTTACTGTTGGGCTGAAAACCAAAAAGATTACATACTGCATGGCAGATTACTTCAGTGTAGTTCTACTGCATCTTTATTTGACTTTAGCAAAGACCTAGAGCACATCTGAAGCAGCAAAACAAACAGTCAGCCTGTGAAGAGGCCACACACTGGTTTCTAAGGGCACCTGATACAGTGGTTCTCAGAGCACATTATCAAAGCGGGCCCCATTGCAATAACAGCCTTACAAATAAAAAAAACCCCTGAACACCACACCGGGGCACGAGCACATAACTATTCATTGCTTTAAAAGTCATAATTTCTGAAGAAACGACAGCATTTAGGATAAATCTCGGCAGGCCAGTACAGCGTGACAGACGGCTGCAGAGCACCTGCGGGTCACCGGGCGATACCTACAACACACGCCTCCCACACAGACCCCCAGGCCTGGCCTACACAGGCACTGCCGGGTGCCCGTAAAAAGGTTCACGGACCAGGAGACCGCACACGGGCCACT